GAGTCAGGAGGCTTCTTAAATGAGTTGATAGTTGACCTAGATTTTTAAATTTCAGATTTAAAACAATACTGGGTAGGAAACACAAAATCTTATTCTAAGATTTTAAATTCTACTAACTATTTTAGGACAAGTTAAAATTGTTTATAATATGTCTGTTTTGTTAATTTTCAGTTCAGCAACTCAAATATGTCATAATTAAGCTTTTTATGAGTGAATCTTTTTGTGAGATAAATGCTTCTTTTTATTTTTATCCATCTCCCTAAGTAGTGTTTGAACCTACCATATCCACAGCACTCTAGAAAGCATCAGGACTACAAATACAAATTAGATATGCTTATCCCCTCCTCATTCATCCAGTGACAAACATATATTAAGCACCTACTATGTATATGAAAATGTGCTTGGAAAGATAATGACAAGGGAAAAATGTAACTATGCAATTGCAGCAGGTGCTATAGAGAAGAGATATATTGGACAATAAGAGAATATAAAAGATGGATCTGACCTCATCAAAGATGTCAAGAAGATGTTTTCAGAACATAGGACAACAAAAGCAAAACTACAAAGGATACCTAGTAATAGAGTTGGTGAAAGCACATGTGTTAGGAATGAGGTGGGGTATTCCAGGCAAGGGGAACATTGTGTGCAGAGGTGAAGACTTTGAGGCACAGAGCAAGTAAGATGAGAGAAGGCCAGTGTGCCTGGAGACGAATGAGCTAGACTGTTCTAAAATTATAGGCAAAAATGAAATTTTGACTCAATTTTTATAATTGATACATAATAATTATATTTATGAGGTACAGTGTGCCATTTCAATGCATTATACATAGTGTAATGGTCAAATTGGCTTCATTATCATATCTATCACGTTAAATATTGATCACTTATTTGTGGTGACAACATTCAAAATCTTCTGTTCTAGCTAGCTTGAAATATATACTACATTGGCCAGGTGTGGTGGCTCACACCTGTAATCCCAGCACTTTGGGAGGCTGAGGTGGGTGGATCACCTGAGGTCAGGAGTTCGAGACCAGCCTGACCAACATGGAGAAACCCTGGCTGTACTAAAAATACAAAATTAGCCTGGCGTGGTGGCACATGTCTGCAATCCCTACTACTCAGGAGGCTGAAGCAGGAGAACCACTTGAACCCAGGAGGCAGAGGCTGTGGTGAGCCCAGATCATGCCATTGCTCTCCAGCCTGGGCAACAAGAGCAAATGTCCATCTCAGAAAAAAAAAAAAAAAAAGCAATATACACTACCTTGTTGTTAGCCATAGTCACCCTACTGTGTAATGGAACACCAAACTTATGCTTCCTGTATTACTGTAACTTTCCACTCATTGACTAACCTCTTCTAGCCACACCCTTCACAACCACTCACCTCTCCCCAGTATCTGGTAACTACTATTCTACTCTCTATGAAATCAACTTTTTTAGATATCACACATGAGTGGGATAGTGCAGTGTTTGTCTTTCTGTGCCTGAATAATTTCACTTAACATAGTGTTCTTCAAACTTACACATGTTACACAAATGACGAGATTTATTCTGTTTTATGAATAAATAGTATTCCACTGTGTATGTGTGTGTGTGTGTGTGTGTTGCATTTTCTTTATTCATCTTTAGATGAGTACTTAGGTTGATTCCATGTCTTGGCAATTGTGAATTGCACAAGAATAAACATGGATGTACAACCCATTATTTAATTTTTTTCAAGGCAAAGGAACAGCCATTGAAATATTTTAAGCAAAGAGATGAATTAAGTAGATTTGTGCTTTAAAACAATAATCTTGGCAGCAAGATCATTCTGGAGAATTTATTAATAGGAGGCTAGGGTAGATGTGGGCACAAAAGTTAGAAGTCCAAAGGAAAGAAAATTGTCATTTCTTTTTGGACACTTGTATAGCAGGTAGACAAGTGAACATATTTGAGATATCTTCAGGAAGTAAATAGAAATTGGTGATAGATGCATATCGAGGTAATGGATGACCTTGAGGGGTCTGGTTTACTTAACTAGCAGAATCACAATGCTGTGAATTAAAATAGTAGATACTAGGAGAAGATTAGGTATAAGAAAGGATGTGGCTATATATGGAGAATGTTTGTAAGTTCACTTTTGGTGAAGTTACGTTTAATATGTATCTCAGAGGAATGTCTAGGAAGATCCTAGAGAAGAAGTTTGCTTCTTGGTTAGATATGTGTGTACAGTGTTTATAAAGGAAGTCTGAGTTAGAAATAGAAATTTGTGAGTCCTCTGCATATAGAAGATAATTGAAGCCATAAACATAGATGACATCTCCAAAGAGAGAATAGAAAGAGAAGAAAAGCAATCGGATTTGGAACTGAGTCTTAATTTGCTAAAAATTTTAATGGCTTCAAAGAGCTCTTATCCTGGAAAGAAAAAAAATGTACCCACACAAATACTCAGTATTTAAATATATTTTGTTAGTGGCCATAATTGTCTTATTTTCTTTTAAGTGGTTCAGGATAAAATATAGGACTTACGTTGCCAAAGAATTCTGGTCAGTGGAATGGAAGAAAACACACACAGATATTCAAGAACAATTACACAAGGGAGAATAGATCATTTCTATGGAAATATCATCTAATCTCAAATGAAGGGGAGTTTGGGGCCCAGTACACTGGGGATGGAGCATGAAGCCCGAGTATACACAAGGCATATGGAGGAAAGTAGATAACATGAAATGCTTCAGGACACAGACTGTTAATACAGTGCCTGCATTTGGGTTGCAGAGAGAGATCAGGAGATAGTCAAAATATGCACACAATATTTTGGAAGCACAGAGGACATAGCTTCTAACTTCCTCAAATCGAATCACAAAATCTTCGTAGATTAGGGAGGACTTTTTCAACAGGACTTTTTCATGTGAACAAGGGAGACAAGAACACATTTTTTTAATTAGAAAGTGTTTTAATTTAAATTACCTTAGAAAAGAGATGCTAAACTATTTGTCTTCCCCACTATTCATGAGATAAAATATGTGAAGGGTGAGAAAGTAATTTCAGCAAATTCCACTGCAAGTGGCAGAATGGGGAAGTAAGAGTAAGAAGAGAACTATTATAAAATAAAGGACTGACTTCATGCAAAATTTGCCCCAAAACTTTATCTGAGAGCATGGAAAGGAAGGAAGGGTTCTGATCAGAAATGAGTTGTGAAGAACACAGAAAGATTTAAAGACAGTTACATCTCATTGTAAAGAAGTAGACATTATTATTCAGAGTGAAGGAATAAATGTGTGGGGTGGCTTAGAAGGATTGAGGGGTGATTTGTGTATCATAGTTGTTTTTAAACAGCATGTGCCTATTTCTTAAACTCTGTATGTATGTGTATCTGTGTGTATGTCTTTGTGTATAGGCTTTGACCTATATGTATACTTATATTTTTTTAAATGTATTCTACGTAGTCTTATAGAAGTGTATCTATTTTTATAATATGCACTGTATTGGCTCTTAAAACGGTAGGGATGCATTGACTGATATCTATTTCTTGGCACAAATATTAGAATACATACACTTCATTGCTTTTGAAAAGATTATGTTACCAGAAGACCTAATGTCCCTGGAATAATATATGCTTCATAAACATTTTGATTATCTTTTGTAAAGTTAATGAAAATAATAAAAACCACCATTTACTGAGAAATTACTATGTTCCAACTACTGTAGTGGGAGTTTTATACCTATTATTCAGTTTAGCCTTATGAATTTGGTTTTATTATTTTATCATTCCCATTTTGTAGATGCCAAAATTTACTGGTTAAATCATTTGATCAAGATCACTGCATCCTAAATGGGAGAGCAAGGTTTTCAACTGTGGTCTGCTTGAGTGCACAGGCTTTGGCTCAAACCACTCCCTAAGTTTATCTTGATAATGATTTATTTATTTATTTGCAACTCAAACCTTAAAGGTTGATTTTTTTAAAAAACTTACCTCATCTAATTTTCACATTTCTTAAATTTAGCCTTGCGTAATAGAATAGCCCAAGAACAACTTGGCTTCACAGGAGTCAGTCTTAAGAGACTTTATGCAATACCTTCCCTTTGTTTCTCTCTGTCTCTCTCTCTCTCTCTCTCTCTCTCTCTCTCTCAAAAAGACAGACATAAACAAATTCAAAGAAGAATACAGTGCAGGATTTTATAAAAATTTTCTTTAAATGACAAAACTCTACCAAAATGTCTTTATACCTTGGTAGCTTCTGCAGGCATTTTTTTTTTTTGTATGTGTTCTCACCTTATATTTTCCTTCTAAAACCTTGTTTCTAAACTTACTCTCTCTTCTCCTTCCTAGTATGGCTATGAGAGTATGTTCTTTTTTCCTCACACAACCACAGCTTTCTGGAAGGTTCTAGCTTTTCCTATTTTTCTACTCTTCAATTTGCTGTTTATCAACCAAAACGCCTAACCAAAAAACTGATTTTCTTCAATATCCAATCTGCCATGGGGCAAAGGACATTAACTTGTTTTCTTTCATTGAAATTTTGAGACACCATTTACATGATAGCAATAAAACTCTATGAACATTTTTGGATGTTTATAAATGTAGTACTTTCTTCTTGAAATAACTAGGAATATCGAGTTATACCCTAAATTTGAAGACTGAACTGTATTTATAATTTAAGTCCTAAATTATGAATTCCAGATTTGAAAAGTACTGAGCCAAATAACTAGTACTTCTTTTGTTAAAAAAAAAAATCAATCTTGAACTTGGCTATCTTTTAGAAATTCTTATCAGTTATTTCTTTATGCTAAGAAACATAGCTTTGCAGCTCTACCATCTTATCACACTATCTTCACCACATTATTTTTAGGAAACTATGTTGAATATCTGTCTGTGATGACTCATTATAAAAATTCAGATAAATACTTATAGTAAGTAAATATAAAATGCACCTATCTTCCTGTATTTCAAACAGAGGCCTATAGAAAGGGCCAGAAGAAAATAGAGAAGGCCTAACATATAATTATGAATTTAATTATTTATGTGAGAAACCTTGGAAGAAGTTGAAGTTTTAAAGTTATATACTCAACAGATACCAGTTGGTAATTAGTACCACCAATTACATGTATCAAACTGATAAGCATAAAAGAGCAAAAATAAAAATTAACTGAGCATAAGACATTTAAAGAAGCTCTTAAATCTTTTTTCTCGCTTGAAACTGAATGAAATAATGAAAACATTTTGAGGCTATTCCGAACAGAACTACAGAGCTAAATGTGCTATAGAAATTGGAGAATTTTTGCACAGATGGTCTGCCACAGAACTTGCCAAATTCAGCCAACCCACAGGAGATCTGGGAAAGGCTTTTCTGCCAACAGGCAAATATAGTGCCTTTCAAATTTGGATGGTCAATACCAAAATCTGGGAATGTCATACTGTGATATTGCTTACCACTGATGAGAATCATAAATAACCAGAACACTATACAGTTAGGAAAAGAACTATTTGTGATCCATATCACCAGACTGAAAATTGAGCCATATATATCTCCCTTGTAGCCATTTTTGCTCCCTTCCCATCTCTTCTCAGCACTAAAGCTAGAGTGATTTGTTCAAAATGCAAATTTCATCTTGTCTCAGCCCCAAATAAAACTGATCCATGGCTTCCCTTTGTTCTTGAGATATAACCCCAAATAGATGACATGCTTCAGGCCTGCCTGATAGGACCCCACCTCTCCTTAGTTTGAATATGGAGTAAACTGTCTTTGACCCAGACCTATCAACCATGAGGTTCTAGCCCATCGACGTTTGTTCTTACCTATACAGGAAAACAGACCATTATTTATATTACCACATCATTCACCAATTTACCTTGGGACTTACTAAGTTAGCTTGGGTTGTGTTAAATCATTTTTTAAGGAAATCCTTATCTGGCCAATTCCCACCCCAACCCTCATCTTCATAAGCCCAAGTTGGCCTGTTTATAGAATGTCATAGCATCTTATATTTTCCTTTAAATAAAATAGGATAGTTTTGCAAAGTATTTGAAGTATAAGACATGTTAATATTTGTAGAATAGTGAATGTATTAGTCCATTCCCATGCAACTATAAAGGACTGCCTGAGACTGACTGGGTAATCTATAAAGGAAACAGGTTTAATTGACTCACAGCTCTGCATGGCTGGGGAGGCCTCAGGAAACTTAGAATCATGGTGGGAAGGGAAGCAAACACATTCTTCATATGACAGCAAAAGGAAAAGTGCCAAGAAAAAGGGGAAAAATGCCTTATAAAATCATCCGATCCTGTGAGAATTCACTATCATGAGAACAGCAGCATGGGGGTAGCTTCCTCTATGATTAAATTACCTCCCACTTCCATGATTCAAATCCCTCCCATGACACATGGGGATTATGGGAACTAAAATTTAAGATGAGATTTGGGTGAGGACACAGCCAAACCGTATCAGTGAATTAATAAACTATTTTTAAACTCAAGTTGGAAAATAATAAAGGAAGCATTGATATTATATTCATAAATATGTTTATGGTATATATTTCAATCCCAAAAAAAGTGAAAATGTAGAGATTGTATTTACACACATTTTTTCTGCAGTATTTTAAAAAATAAATAAAATACTACTGTACTGGTTCATTGCTCAAAATGTAATATCCTAGTGGCGATAGTTGCATAAAGCTCTGAACATCCTAAGAACCTTTGAATTGTATACTTTAAAAGGGTGAACTTTATAATATGTGAAATATATTGCAATAGAACTGTTATTAAAAATGCAATGTCCTCAAGAAACAGAGCTTAAAGAGAAAGCTATTCAGCACTAACTTGCAATAGTTTATTCTCAATATTTTTGATGCTATCAAATATTTTAAAAATCCAGAGTTAGGCAAGGAGAGACTTTCTTTTAAAAATTACTGCAATAGCGGGAAGAGACTATTGCCATGAGGGGAACACTCTATCCAAAAGATCTGTAAGTGTTTCAGACTTCAGGTAGAAGAGGCTATTCTTTTACGGGGAAAAAGAAACAAGGCTGGAAGTATTCAGGTATTGGTGATTGAGATGAATAAGTGGCATGATGGGATGGTGCAGAGAAAAAAAAATGTCGTCTTTGGCAGTAGCTAATTCCCCAAAAGGGCCCTTAATAGGAGGTTGTTAGGCACTCCAATGCTTGCTTAAACTCAAGGACAGGCCAAATTTTAGGGACTTAGGGAGGTAGGGAAGCCAGACTAAAGTTTGGTCTCTTCAAATTAGTAAGAATTTGTCCATATTGGTCAGTGGGGACAAGCAGTTTGTAGATGAGACAGATAATGAGAACTTGGAGAGTCTGTATCTGGCCTTGCTGTAGGTAAATAAGGGGGCATGCTTGAGTTTTTGTTTGTTTTTTATTTTGCTTTAAGTCTTGGAGTACATGTGCATATCTTACAGGATTGTAACATAGGTATACACCTGCCATGGTGGTTTGCTGCCTCCATGCCCACATCACCCCTAATATTAGGTATTTCTCCTAGTGTTATCCCTCCCCAACCTCCCCACACCCTGCTATCCCTCCCCTAGGCCCCAACTCCACAAAAGACCACAGTGTGTGATGTTCCCCTCCCTGTGTCCATGTGTTCTCATTGTTCAACACTCACTTATGAATGAGAATATGTGGCGTTTGGTTTTCTGCTCTTGTGTCAGTTTGGTGAGAATGATGGTTTCCAGTTTCATCCATGTCTGTGCAAAGGACATGAACTCATCCATTTTTATGGCTGCATAGTATTCAGTGGTGTTCATGTGCCACATTTTCTTTATCCAGTCAATCATTGATGGGCATTTGGGTTGATTCCAAGTCCTTGCTATTGTAAACAGTACCACAGTTAACATACGTGTGCATGTGTCTTTATAATAGATAGATTTATAATCCTTTGGGTATATACCAGTAATGAGATTCCTGGGTCAAATGGTATTTCTAGTTCTAGGTCCTTGAGGAATCGCCACGCTGTCTTCCACAATGGTTGCACTTATTTACACTCCCACCAACAGTGTAAAGGTGTCCCTATTTCTCCACATGCTCTCCAGCATCTGTCGTCTTCAGATTTTTTAATGAGCACCATCCTAACTGGCATGAGATGGTATCTCAATGTAGTTTTGATTTGCATTTCTCTAATGACCAGTGATGATGAGCATTTTTCATGTTTGTGGGCCACATAAATGTCTTTTTTGAAAAGTGTTTGTTCATATCTTTCACCCACATTTTGATGGTTTTTTTTTTTTTTTCTTGTATATTGGTTTTAGTTCTTTTTAGATTCTGGATATTAGCCCTTTGTCAGATGGGTAGCTTGCAAAATTTTTCTCCCATCCTGTTGGTTGCCAGTTCAATCTAATGATTGTTTCTTTTGCTGTGCAGAAGCTCTGGAGTTTAATTAGATTCCATTTGTCTATTTTGGCTTTTGTTGCCAATGCTTTTGGTGTTTCAGTCATGAAGTCCTTGCCTATGCCTATGTCCTGAATGATATAGCCTAGGTTTTTTTCTAGGATTTTTATGGTGTTAGAGCTTATGTTTAAATATTTAATCCATCCGTAGTTAATTTTTGTATAAGGTATAAGGAAGGGGTCCAGTTTCAGCTTTCTGCACATAGCTAGCCAGTTTTCCCAACACCATTTATTAAACAGGGAATCCTTTCCCCATTGCTTGTTTTTGTCAGGCTTGTTGAAGATCAGATGGTTGTAGATGTGTGGCATTACTTCCAAGGCCTCTGTTCTGTTCCATTGGTCTATATCTCTGTTTTGGTACCAGTACCAAGCTGTTTTGATTACTGTAGCCTTGTAGTATAGTTTGAAGTCAGGTAGCAGGATGCCTCCAGCTTTATTCTTTTTGCTTAGGATTGTCTTGGCTATGTGGGCACTTTTTTGGTTCCATATGAAGTTTAAGGTGAATTTTTCCAGTTCTATGAAGAAAGTCAATGGTAGTTTGATGGGGATGGCATTGAATCTATAAATTACTTTGGGCAGTATGGCCATGTTCACGATATTCATTCTTCATAACCATGAGCATGGAATGTTTTTCCAACTGTTTGTGTCCTCTCTTATTTCCTCGAGCAATGGTTTGTAGTTCTTAAGTTTCCATAGCCAAATCGATCAAGCAGAAGAAAGTATATCAGAGATTGAAGACCAACTCAATGATATAAAATGAGAAGGAAAGATTAGAGAAAAAAGAGTAAAGATAGATGAACAAAGCCTCCAAGCAATATGGGATTATGTGAAAAGACCTAATCTACATTTGATCCATGTACCTGAATGTGATGAGGAGAATAAATCCAAGCTGGAAAACACTCTTCAGGATGTTACCAAGAGAACTTCTCCAGCCTAGCAAGACAGGCCAACATTCAAATCCAGGCAATACAGATAACACCGCAAAGATATTCCTCAATAAGAACCACCCCAAAGCACATAATTGTCAGATTCACTAGGGTTAAAATGAAGGAAAAAAATGCTAAGGGCAGCCATAGAAAAAGGTCAGGTTGCCCACAGAGGGAAGCCCATCAGACTGGCAGTGGATCTCTCAGCAGAAACCCTACAACAGGAGAGATTGGGGCCAATAGTTAACATCCTTAAAGAAAAGAACTTTCAGCTTGAGTTTTTTTTTTTTCTAACTCACCTGGGAAAGGTTGATTGTTTGTAGAAAACTGATTTCTGGATCACAAAAATTTGGGGAATATATTAACTGTAGCTGTTTTCTAGGAGGATATGCCTCAGGTGAAGTTCAAAGTTTTCGTTACTCTCTAATGAAAAGAATTCTTTCAAAAGATGTTTTTGGTTACATTCATGAATACAGTGGTCAGTGCAGACTGTCAAGTGGAACATAACTCAGGTAACATTAAACCAGTGAATTTTCTGTGTCCCATACATAATGAAATGTGGATATCTGCAGGCCAAAGAGGAGGTTCAGGTTTGTAGCACAAATATTTTCTGTATTTGGAAATTTGTCACCTTATTGTAAAATATGCCCAAATTTATTATTGCTTTGGGAAGTATTACTGTGGGTACCCTGATAGAAGTGGTTAGAACATAGTTTTGGCAACAATTGTAGGCAGTATTAAATATTTTATGAGAAATACATTAGTATAAATCACCATTTTAAAAAGTGATACATGAATCACCACCCAAAGAATTGGACTTCAGTGCAAGAAATACTGATTTATCTTCACAGTCGATACTGTGTATGTAAATGCCATTTCTCAGAAGCATAAAACTCTGATATAATATATTGGTTAGTGTAAGCAGTATAATATATATTTTTCAGGCTGTGCTAGTTTCATTAATCATATATTTTACGAATTTTAAGCTTATTTTTTATGAGGCATTGCATTACATGTGGCATTGATATGCATGTGTAATTTATTACTTGGCAAGTGAATTATCCTAGACTATTTTATGTGCTTGATATATTGATTTTCAGTTGTGATAGATCATTTTAAGATTGCATGACTTTACTCTTGGTGATTTATTCCACAGAATCTCATAGAGTGTGGGGCAAGCTGATGCAGCCCTTTGAACACTTTCTATCAGCTATAAATAGAGTTGTTACGTGGAATTCTTAACCCCAGTAGAGAAACATATTTAGCAAGTTGAAAGAAATAACTTTCATCCAAGATCTAATTAGTTGCTGAAATAAGTGCCCATAAAAAAGTAGTTTCAATGTGTCTTTTTCTTGTATTATTAATCTTGTAAACCCCCTTTTCCAATAAGTAATGAGATGTACTATCAAAGAATGATAAAGATGTCATTAGGTTGCTTAAAAGATCTGTCTTCTATGATTGCTGATTGTCTTTTAATCTTTATCAGCTCAAACACATACATATGCATTGACTTGAATTATCATTACCACTTTTCCTTATAGAAAACTTACTTTAAACAGAGATCCATGGAGAAAAAAGTTATGCAGTGCCAAAACACCAAATGCATGATGGACACTTGTGAAGTTATTGCATAAAAGAACCAGATAAGTGAAAAGGAGTATTTTTAGAATTTTAGGAGTACTTTTGGAATACTTATTAGAATTTCTAATAAATAGTGTCAAGGTCACTCAAAAAATAGGCGTCATTTTGTCATTGGTCACAAGGTACTC